ATTTCCGTTTTTTTTATTTCCGTTTTTTTTTTTTTCCGTTTTTTTATCTCCGTTTTTTTTTTTCGTCTTTTTTTTCCCGTTTTTTTATTTCGTTTTTTTTTCCCCGTCTTTTTTTATTTCTGTTTTGATTTCCGTTTTGATTTTGCAAGGAAGATGAGCAAAAGCGAACTTCAGCAATCAAACAGCATCATACACATGAGATCAGATAGTCGTGACCTCGAACCAAAAGCAGAATTGCATCACGAGTTTCACCGAATAAGAGCACACCAAAAGCTCATAATTAACAATGCTGGAATAGTCTCATCATCATCATCAACAAAGAACCAATGTTGATATCCCATCTGGCTCTCGGCGCCCAGACTGCAGATGACAGATCCTATCTAGCCTACTCTACAATGCCGCTGATGACGTCAACAGCTCCCCGAAGTACGAGCAGATCTCGGACAACAATGCCGCACGCTTCAAGCACCAGGTACTATGTCTCTCGTATCACTCACAACCTCGTTCCCCAACTCACAGATGCCACTTGCACCCAAGGACCACCCTGCGCCCCATCCAGCTTACAGCAGCGCAGCTCGGCTATGGCTGCCTGCTCCTTCCAGCTCGCCCATGAGCGCGCGATCCTGGCAGGCGATAGCGCAGCAGCGCTTGCGCACAAAGCAGCCAGTGCCCAAATGCCCAATGTGTGGGCAGGCCCTTCCCTATATCGAAGTGGCCTGCTGCTGCATGCTGTGTTGCGGTACTGGGCCCCAGCCCAGAAGCTTCCCGTAGGCCCGGGGAGGCTGAGCCTTAGACCGAAGGAAACAGGCCCAGGGCCTGAGCCGGTTACCAGCACCCAACTGCCCTCGGGCCTCAGCCTTTGTTCGATCCACGTTGTGCATCCGGCGCAGGCCTTGCCTCAGCTAGATGTGTAGTGAAAGGCAGGCTGGGCCTGGGTGCTTCCAACCGACTGGCGCTGCGGAACTGCCTGAATTTCCCCAGGTGCGTAGTAGTCCAAAATAGGCCTCTTGGGGTCTGTGGAGCCTGCCTTCACTTAGGGCGGCGGACACTGTTGCAAATAGGGGCCCAGTAAGTAGGGCTTATCGAGGCCTTGTGCCTCGCAATTTCCGTTTTGATACCCTTTTTTTTCAATTTTGATTTTCGTTTTGGATTTCTGTTTTATGTTTTGGATTTTCCGTTTTCCGTTTTGATTCCCATTTTGGATTTCCGTTTTTCGTTTCGCTTTCCGTTTTGATTTCCGTTTCGGAGTTCCGTTTTGGATTTCCACTTTGGATTTCCGTTTTGGATTTTCCGTTTGGATTTCTGTCGCGATTTCTGTTTTGAATTTTCCGTTTGGATTTCTGTCGCGATTTCCGTTTTGGATTTCCGTTGGATTTCCGTTCTGATTTCCATTTTCAAGGGCATACTCACACTAGCACGTACTTCCGCAAATTTTACGTATGTGATTTTGCGTTTATATGGCACCTGCGGGTCACACTGCTCACCCGTTTGTTGCCCAAAGCAGAAAGGACAGGGTCGCGACCTGGCCTTGAGATGTGAAAATACGTTGTCTGCAGTCAGACAGCACAATGCACTTCTTTTTTTTTTTTTTTGCTTCCAGAAAGCGGTAGAGGAAAAAGAAATACGATTTTGCGGGGACCTCTGGAGGTCCCTGCAAAATATGCAAGCCCGCGGCTGTCCAGGCCACTGACATTTACGTGCCCTTTTGTGTGAACATGCAAAATACGTGCCTCTTGTGACCGGGAAAACTACATAAGATTTGCGATTTTGCGAAAATACGTGGTAGTGTGAGTATGCCCTCATTCGGCTTGGTCTGATTCCGTGACGTTATTTGAACTAAATGAAAACGGAATCCGTTTGCGGAATAGAACAAAGCCCAAATAAGGGGAAAAAAAAAGTATAAGCCGGTACCTACAGTCTTCCCGGAATACAACGTACGGTCATTATAGCTAAATTTGGTATATCTTTCCGTCTAAATGCAGCTGTATTCGGGGGAAGACTGTTGTCATATGCGTGTCTCAAAGAAGAAGGCAGTAAGCCATGCACGTGTAAGTGAGCGCAATTTATTTATTTATTATTATTATTTTTTTTGGGCGTGGATTTTTTGCATTGTGTACTGCCAAATGGCTCATTAGTCCTTCGGGACATCCGTTACAGAGAAGATTAGCATGGCCTCTGCGCAAAAAAAAAAAAAAAAAAAAAAAAAAAAAAAA